ATCAGAGGCTTGAAATAGGAGGTTCTAGTGGAACTCAGATATAATCTGATCCCTGAGACGGTGAAGAAAAAAGGAAGGAATCAGCCAAGAATCAGAATAAGAGGTTAATCAGTAAAATATGGGACTCGGAGAAAGGAATTTCTTGGAGTTGTTACTAGTATTAAAATCTCCAGAAAACTATTTTATTGCAATTGAACTATGACTGGGGCAAGCCCTCTTGGCTTTACATGAATGAGTTAGTTGCCCCAGACTTACTTGTTTGACCATCTCATAAACAAAATGCCAAGCTGGACCTCTTAGAACTCCAGAATATGTTGCCTTGCCAGCCACTTTTACTGCAAAGAGGGCAAATCATTTGGAAAGATGGTCGTATGTATTCCCTCCAGTTGTTCTGGCAAATTCTTTGTCCTGAAGTTCCTTTCCACTGAAAGGAAGGCTAACACTGCCAGGAGACACTTAAGGGATGTTAAGTAATGTTTCCCTTAGAGCAATTTACAAGTGTTGTGTTTTTCCCCTGGTACAAAAGACAGAGCTAAGAAAAAGTCTAATGCAGCTGGGAAAGATTTTCATTTTTAGGAGGCTACTGGACATTCAGAAATGAACTTCAGTGGAGCAGAACATTTACATTAATAAATTGTTCCTCTAATGTATCTGATTCAATACTCCACGGTATCCATGTCATTCTGCATCTGTTAAAGTGGCTGACCTAAAGGTTCACAGCCAACTGTGTGTCTACCCATGTCAACTGTGTGTCTACCCATGTCAATTACGGGCCTCACTTTCCTCACCCATAAAAGGAAGACTGAAAGTGAGATGACTTCTAAAGTCCCCTCCAGTCCGGCCAGTGTGGCTCAGTGGTTGAGCATCGACCCATGCGCTAAGAGGTCGCTGGTTCGATTCCCGGTCAGGACACATGTCCAGATTGTGGGCCTGATCCCCAGTGGGGGGCATGCAGGAGGCAGCCAATGGATGTTCTCTCTCATTGATGTTTCTATCTCTCCCTCTCACTTCCTCTCTCTCTAAAACCAATTAAGAAAAAATTTAAATAACAAAAAATAAAGTCCCCTCCAGTTCCAAAGTTATCATTTTAGAAGACAATTCCATGAGAAAATGAAGGCCTTGTCCCCCGGATATATCTCTGTGTGTTCCAAGTCAGTTTGTCGCTATACATATCCTCTGGATAACATTCAAATCAGCATGATCTGACTTACATTAGGTTAGTGGAACTTAACCTTGGAATCCATTCTACTTTGGGGTAATTAATTTTAAAGAGGATTGCAAAAAACATTTCCGGAGAAGGTGGATTCTCCTTTGCCTCTTTTTTCTCTGTAAATATTTTGCTTCATGCATTCTTGGGGGGCGGGGGGGGGGGTGTGTTTTTTGGAGGTGTGTTTTAGTTCTATTTCTTTATAGAGATTATCAACTCTTCTCCTGCCATGTGTTCTCCTTCATTCCCACCAGCATATAAACATGTTATTTCTCCCATCTTAAAAAAAAAAAAATTCCAGGAGAAACATCTGTAACAAAAATAAATCAATAAAAATTGCAACAACAAAAAAATCCTCTCTACTTCTGCCACTCGATACCACTCATGTTCTCCTTCTCTGTACAACAGGGCTTCTCAACTTTTGATGTTTTGGATTCGATATTTAATTTTATAAATTTAAATTTCCCCAGGTGAGGATTAACAAAAAAAGAAGAAAAATTATGAAAAATGTAAATATAGCCCTGGCCAGATAGCTCAGTAGGTTAGAGTGTTGTCCTAATATGCTAAGATTTCGGGATCAATCCACGGTCAGGGCAGACAAGAATCAACCAATAAATACATAAATAAGTGGAACAACAAATCCAGGTTTCTCTCTCCCTTCCTCTCCTCTCCCCAAAAAACCAAACTTATACACAAAAGTTGAAAGAATAGCATAATGAACTCCTATGTATCTGTTACTTAATTTCAGTTGATACAATATTGTGCTAATTTTGTTTCATCTATCTCCTCCACTCCCAGGTGTATTTAAATTTTTAATAATTATTTATCTATTAATCCTCACCCAACAATTTTTTTAAAAATTTTTTTCTTTATTGATTTTTAGAAAGAGAGGATGGAGAGGGAGAGAGAGAAACATCGATGAGAGAGAACATCGATTGGCTGCCTCCTGCATTCCCCCAACCGGGGATCAGGCCCACTACCTGGGCATGTGCCCTGACTGGGAATCGATCTGGTGACCTCTTGGTGCATGGGTTGACACTCAACCACTGAGCCCACTGAGGATATTTTTTCAATTGATTTTTTAGAGAGTGGAAGGGAGGGAGGGAGAGAGAAACACAGATGTGAGAGTGACACATTGGTTGCCTGTTGCACAGTCCTGATGTGATTTTTTACTATGAAATATTTCAAATGTAGAAAAATGTACAGTAGCAAGCATTTGTAGTGTTTACTGTGTATCAGACATTGTTCTAAGTGTATTAGATATGGTGGTGTACCTAGACTATTTGACACACAGAGCAGGTAAATTTTTACACACACACACACACACACACACACACCCCTCTCTTCACTTTATTTTTTTATTTTTTATTTTTTTTATCCTCACCCGAGGACGTTTTTCCATTTTTTGTACAGATAGAGTGGGAGGGAGAGATAGGAAGAGAGAGAGAGGGGAAACATCGATGTGAAAGGGACACATCGAGTGGCCGCCACCCGCACAACCAACCAGGGCCGGGGACAAACTGCAACCGAGGTACATGCCCTTAGCGGGAACCGAACCCAGGTCTCTCCGGACCACAGGCGGACGCTCTAACCGCTGAGCCAAACCGGCCAGGGCTCTTCACTTTATTTTTTAGAACAGTTTTAGGTTCATAGCAAGACTGAGTGGAAAGGAGAGAGTTCCCAAATAGCCACTTAGCCCCTGCTGTGTCACATATGCTCAGCCTCCCCCACTAGCAACATCCAGCACCAGGGTGGTACATACGTAACAACGGATGAACCTGCCAAAGCTCACAATTTATGTTGTACATTCTGTGAGTTTTGACAAACATATAATGACATGTGTCTACCATTATAGTATCATATAGTTTCACTGCCATAAAAATCCCTTATACTCCACCTATTCCTCCCTCCCCCCTAAACCCTGGCAACCAATTATCTGTTTACTGTTTCATGTTTTCCAGAACATCATATAGTTGGAATCATACAGTATGTAGCCTTTTCTGGTTGGCTCCTTTCCGTGCATTTAAGTTCCTTCCATGTCTTTTCATGGAACATCAAATCTGTGCTTCAATTGTCTATAGTGCTAATTAAACATTATATACAAAGAGAGTTTTGACAGTTAATTGGCAAACTTGCAGAATTTAAGGACCAAAAACAGAAACTGTATATTATTCATTTTCTTGCTAATCCATTATGTAGGATAAAAGTCTTTCTTAAATACGTTAATGTCATTAAAAATATTAATCCATTTCCTTTTGTACTGTAATACCAGCTTTATTTTTCATTAAAATTGTACTGGCATCATTACTTAGATGAAGTTAAATAATATTTTCACTGTTTCTTTCTGGCCATTATTAGTCATCATTTCAGGATTATTACTGAAAGTTTTTTTGTGTTGCTTTTTAAAAATTATTATTATTGTAAAAAAGAGGGGTGGCCAAGAGAATTCGAAGACAAGTCACAGACTGGTAGAAATTATTTGCAAAACATGTATCTGATAAAAAACAAACAAACAGCCCTGGCCAGTTTGGTTCAGCGGTTAGAGCGACGGCCTGCAGTCCGGAGAGACCCGGGTTCAGTTCCCACTAAGGGCATGTACCTCGGTTGCAGTTTGTCCTCGGCCCTGGTTGGGTTGTGCGGGTGGCAACTACTCGATGTGTCCCTTTCACATCGATGTTTCTCTCTCTCTCTCCCTCCCACTCTATCTGAACAAAATATCAAAAAATGTCCTCGGGTGAGGATTAAAAAAACAATACAAACAAACAGCCCTGGCCGATTTAGCTCAGTGGTTCGAGTGTCGGGCACGGACCAAAGAGTCCCAAGTTTGATTCCGGTCAAGGGCTCACACTCCGATTGTGGTTCATCCCCAGCCCTGGTCGGGTTGTGCCAGAGGCAACCGGTTGATGTGTCCCTCTCCGGTCAATGGTTCTGTCTCTTTCCTTCTCTCTCCCTCCCTCCCACTCTATCTGAAGATAAACAGAAAAATATCCTCAGGTGAGGATTACAAAACAGGCATCCAAAATATACAAAGAACCCTTTAAACTCAGCAGTAAAGACCACAACCTGAGTGAAAGGTCAGAGAAAGCTCTCAAGGGAAACCTCACCAAAGAAGGAAGATACACAGATGGACGAGGCATTTGAAAAGACCCTCAACATCCGATGTCATCAGGGACTTGAAAATGAAAACAACACATGTGAGGATGGCCACAGCTCAACCTAACCTTAATTCACTCTGAGCTAGTGAGTCATTTCACAGGGCAAAGCTAAGCCCTTTTACACCCAAGGCGTCTACCCACCCAAGGGTGAACGAAGCCCGGCTCCAGCAGGTACACACACCTCAGAGGAGGGGGCGTGGCGCGCTCTGCCTGGTGCGCAGGCGTGACTGGACCAGCAGTTAAGACTGCCCCTGGCGCCTGATTAAAATATTTAAATACAGCCGTTAAGGATTCCCCTCCCACACACAACCTACTATATTAACTTTTACTTATGATAAATGTTCATACACGTTTATTAATTTCTGAGACTCAAATTCCTCTCAGACTCATTTCCATTGAGCATGTATACACACCAAAGTGCCTTTTGTCCCCAGCGCATTGTGAGTCCTCAATAAAGTGAGCTGCTTAGAATGATGATGTGGCTTTTGCTAAAACAAAACAAAATAAACAAAAACCCCCAAACCAAATCATTCCACCCGCAAGGGGGTGGGGAAGAAATTGAGGGTTTGGTTTTGTTTTTCACCCAGGCACTTCAATAGTTGCCTATTTTCCTGGGGGCGGTGCCACAAGTGGACCCGATGGACCCCGGCGAGGCCGCCATTTTGGAGTCTTCTCTAAGAAACTCCTACCGGCTTTTCGTGCCGCTGCCACCGCTCCCCGCGGCCTTGCCGGGCAGGATGAATGTGATAGACCACGTGCGAGACATGGCGGCCGCGGGGCTGCACTCCAACGTGCGGCTCCTCAGCAGCTTGTTACTCACAATGAGTAATAACAACCCGTGAGTTGAGGCGGGGAGCGGCCTGGGGCTGAGGAGAAAGCGGCGCCTGTTTGGGAGCGGGGGCTGCGGGGGCCCGGGGACTGGCGGGATGGTGCGACCGCGGGCCTCCGCCGAGGCTCCGGGGTCAGGGAGGGCCTCGTCGGGCGGGACCGACTTAGGAACGCAAGTGAGACCCCTGGGCGCCAGCGTTGTGCCCGGCGCTAGGATGAGCTCCCTGCGGGGCGGTGTCGAGCGGCGGCGGCTTCGAGAAACGCAAGGCGGGGGGCTCTGAGGACGACCCTGGCGAGGGTTCCCCGAAGGTGGGGGGCGAAGGGTTTCCTGAGTCACCTGTCACCGGGCATAGCGACTGTCACATCGCTGGGCTAACTCCTGCCCTCCCAGCTCCCTCCTCGCCGGCGCTCAGAGGCCCATTCCCCCGGCTTTATACCTTCGTCTCACATCTGAGACGGATGTTTCCCCCTTGAGTGCATTAGGGTTCACCTTCTCGCCTCCGCAAACCCCTGAAAACGGGCACACCCTCGACGGGTGGGAGTGGCGCCTTTTCCTGTTTTCAGAGCCGCCGTGGACTGAGTGTTAGGACGAAAGAAGCGCAGGGGTCTTTCCAGCCTTGAATGCGCGTCGTTCCCCGGCTCGAATTTCTCCATCGTGCTGAAATCGAAGTTCCTTCCCACGGCCAAGGGGCTGAGCATCTTTCTCCCCAGCTTCAACGCCTAGACTCTGCTCACGGGACTCCGGCCCCCCTCCCCGTCCGTCCTTTCTGATCCTGCGACACACCAAGCTGGTTGTCAGCTCAGGGCTTGTGCATTTGCTCTTCTGCTTAGAGTTCTTACCCCCGACCTGCCTCCTTACACATTTCAATTCAGATATTCCTTCTTGAGAGCTCTGCCATCAGAATTGTCCCCTATCCTCACTGTTCTATCCCGTTGCCCTGTTCTATATTCTGCATCACTTTGTTTTTTTAAATTGAGATGTAATTGGGGTGTAACAGTACATTAGTTTCAGGTGTACAACGTAATGATTCCATTTTTGTATATATTGCAGAAATGATCACCACGATAAGTCTAGTTAAAATTCATCACTAGCCCTGGCCGGTTTGGCTCAGCGGTTGGAGCCTGTGGTCCAGAGAGACCCGGGTTCGGTTCCTGCTAAGGGCACATACCTGGTTGCAGTTTGTCCCCGGCCCTGGTTGGTCGTGCGGGTGGCAGCCACTCGATGTGTCCCTTTCACATCGATGTTTCTCTCTCTCTCTCTCTTCCTCTCTCTCCCTCCCACTCTACCTGAACAAAAAATGGAAAAATGTCCTCGGGTGAGGATAAATAAAAAACTCCATCACTACACGTAGTTAACGATTTTTTTTTCCTCTTCTAGTGAGAACTTTTAAGACTAAATTCTGCATCACTCTTAATTCCTAATGAAGTCAGCTCAGTGCCTGTGTACAGTAAGCATTCATTCACACATTGAATGTGCTAAAGAAGTGCACATACAACCTTAAGGATATGAAATACCTTGTCCAAGTTCACATATTTAATAAGTGGAGGAGCCATGATGTCTGGATTTTGGTCCTTTTGACTCTTCAGGTCTCCATTCTGACCTACCATAGCCTTCTGCCTCTAAATGGCATTATAATGGAATCTTCTACACAGGGAGGACCCATTTGCATTGGCTTGCTCTTGAAGCTGTCTGAGGCAGAAAAGAAACGCCTCTTAAGTGCCCGCAGTGCAGCTGCTGCTCCCTATTTCATTTCCATTACCATGCTTTTGGACCTCACTGTGCGCACCCATCATTTTGCCACCATCCATTTAGTGTTGACAGGGAGGAGCCCTGGTCTTTGTCAACCTTCTGTGTTTATTCTGGAGCCTTTCACTTGGTTCTGGTGATTTGTCAAGGCACAGTTTCCACCATTGGGAATTTATGCACCAGTTCGACATTGTTCTTGGTTCTTGAAGATGTTACAAGACAGTTTGATTCTCTCACTAGACTATACTTATTCACATTAGGTAAACTAGCAGTTTCTTAGCGTCAGAAGGCATTTAAATTCTGACTTGTCATTTACATTTTAAAATGTTTTACTGAGTTGGCAATACAGCGTAGTAAAAAAAAGTTCAAACAGAGCAGAAAGGGTCTGCAGATAAGTGTCTGTCCCTGAGTCTTGAACCTCACTGCACCATTTTCCTTCTCCAGAGGCAAACAACCATTGTTTCTCATGTATCATTCCAGATATAACTTTTGTGTGCATAGGTAGGCAGGTATGTTACAATATATACATATCTGAATGCTGAGTATAGTAACATTTTCTATCAAATCATTTCTTATTAAATACATAGAATCTCAGAATTGGAAGAGATCTAAACTATCTGGACTATAACTTTCAACCTTTCAGCCCTTGAATTTCCTTTGTAACTTTATATCCTGTGTTTAAACTTTCTGTCCTTTTTTTTTTTTTTTTTTTTTTTAATTCTTCTTCTTTATTGATTTTAGAGAGAGAAGAAAGGAGAGGGAGAGAGAGATAGAAACATCGATGAGAGAGAACATCCATTGGTTGCCTCCTGCATGCCCCACACTAGGGATCAGGCCCACAACCTGGGCATGTGTCCTGACTGGGAATCGAACCAGCAACCTCTTGGTGCATGGGTCGATGCTCGACCACTGAGTCACACCGGCTGGACCCTTTTTTTTTTTAAGTTTTTATTAAGATAAAATTTACATACCTTAGAATTTGCTCTTTTACGTAATACATGTCTGTGGTTTTAAACATATTCACAGAGTTGTACAACCATCATTGTTGTCTATTCCAAAACATTTTCATTACCTAGAAAAGAAACCTCTTCCTTATCTATTAGTAGTCACTCTCCAATCCTTCTTCCTTCGGGTCCCTGGCAACCACTAATCTATGGTACCTTTTTTTTTAATCCTTACCTTATGATATTTTTCCATTTATCTTCAGATAGAGTGGGAGGGAGAGAGAGACAGATACACACACACACATCCACTAGTTGTCTCCCACACGACCCTGACCAGGGCTGGGACCAAACCACAACCTAGGTATGTGCCCTTGACCGGAATTGAACCCACAACTCTTGGGTCTGCAGGCCGAGGCTCTTAACTGCTGAGCCAAACCAGCCAAGGCAGTACCTTTTTTTTTTAACTCCTTGCCTGAGAGTATGTTTTTATTGATTTTTATTTATTGATTGGTTTTTATTGATTTATTGATTTTTTATTTTTTTTACTCTTACCCGAGGATATTTTTCCATTTTTTGTTCAGATAGAGTAGGAGGGAGAGAAAGGAACAGAGAGAGAGACAGAGAGAAACATTGATGTGAAAGGGACACATCAAGTGGCTGCCACCCACACCACCAACCGGGGCCGGGGACAAACTGCAACTGAGGTATGTGCCCTTAGCTGGAACCGAACCTGGATCTCTCTGGACCACAGGCCAACGCTCTAACTGGTGAGCCAAACCGGCCAGGGCTGTTTTTATTGATTTTTAGAGAGAGAGGAAGGGAGAGAGAAAGATAGTGTGAGAAACATCCTTCTGGCTACCTCCTGCCTGCCCCCTACTGGGGGTTGAGCCCGCAACCCAGCATGTGCCCTGACCGGGAATCGAACAGGGCCCTCTTGGTCCAATGCTCAATCCACTGAGCCTCACCATTCAGGAAACATATTAAAACAATAATTTAAGGCAATTTCCTAGATGTGTTGACTATATTAGCATGTATTACATGCTCTCATCCCTCTAATTTTAGGCATTAGCACTTAAGGTACATTTACTTTTTTGTAAACTGTCATTGCATAAGGCTTTGTGCTCAGGCTTGGACACTAAGAAGGGACACTAAGGGTGGGCATGTACTTTCTAACATTTCAAAACAACCCATGTAGAGGGTATACTTTCTTTGTTTTCTAGTGAATTATTCTCCCCATCTCAGAAGTACCAGCTTTTGGTGTATCACGCAGATTCTCTGTTTCATGATAAGGAATATCGGAATGCTGTGAGTAAGTATACCATGGCTTTACAACAGAAGAAAGCCCTAAGTAAAACTTCAAAAGTGAGACCTTCAACTGGCAATTCTGCATCCACTCCACAAAATCAGGTAACTGGCGATAAGAAATGATTTTGAGGGGGTGGAGGGGAGTGAGAGAGACTGAAAGAATTTACAAGACTGATAATTAGATGTAGAAAATGGTAAAATAAAATGTGATTTTTAAAAGGGGACTTGACTGGAGAAACAAAGATGAAGAACCACTTAAATGAAAGAATATATCCATCCAAGCATTAAGGACTAAAAAGCAGAATTCACTCTGGATGAATCTAAAAGTGGAATTAACCATGAATTATCTGGATTCTAACCAAAGTCATGCATTCATTGTTCCTCCCTTTTATACAGACAGAACTCAAAATCTAAAGTGTTTTTATAATGTTAATGAAGGTACAACTTTAAAATGTAACTCAAATTTTACGACTGTGAGTACCTGTGGAAATACATGGGAAATCTAAGAATTCCTACCAATTTTTGATGGTTAGTTGCTTAATAAATAAATCGGGGAGGGATTGTAATTTCACCATTTGATAGAGCCATTCCATTGCTAGAAATTAACCCTAATAATAGACTCACAAAAGATTTACAGGATATGTAATTAAGGCTGCTTATAGCAGCATAGTTTATGATGGTAAAGAAACTGGAAGCAAAAGTGTTTATTAGTTCTAGTTAAATTCTAGTATAGCCATAAGATGGAATATGATGGAACTATTAAATGAAAAATGAGATAGAAGTCTGAATGCTGATTTGGAAAGAACTATATATAAGTAAAGAAAATAAGATTTGAAGCAATGTGTTCAGTACTCTTTGTTTAAAGGGGGATGGTTTATAGATATATAAATATATTCTTGTATATGCCTAAAATATATGTAATACGCATAAAAGATTTTGCATTTGAAGGAAATAAATTTAGTGGTGGAAAGCTTTAGGGAGAGGGGAACTTTTACTTTTCAATTTGAACCTGTCTTTATTTTTTATTTTCATTTTTATTTTTTTAATCCTCACCCGAGGATATATTTTTTCGACAGAGTAGGAAGGAGGGAGAAAGAGAGAAAAACATTGACTTGAGACAGACACATTGATTGGCTGCCTCCCACATGACCCCTACTGGGGCTGGGGATTTAACCTGCAACCAACGTATGTGCCCTTGACCAAGAATCGAACCTTCGAATCTCTGGTCCGTGGGCCGACGCTCTAACCATTGAACCAAACTGGTCGGGGCTGAACATGTCTTTAAATTTAAATTATACATGCAACTTAAAAGGAATGTCAGAATGAACTGGGAGTGAAATTGTCTCATTTTTTTCTGCTTTTTATTTTTTCACATTGAAAAAGACAAATTCATGTATTTGCTTTTTTTTATAAGCCTATAGATCTTGTTTTATGTCTCTTTGTGTAAAACCTTTGTTTTTTGTTATTAAAGAGCTGATTGCCAGGATTTTCTGTGTTCTGACACTGAATGGAAGTCATAATCATTCACATAGGATCATTCATATAAGTAGCCAACTTTTTTTTTCTTTATTGATTTTAGAGAGAGAGGAAGAGAGAGATAGAAACATCGATGAGAGAGAACATGGATTGACCACCTCCTGCATGCCCCCCACTAGGGATTTGGCCCACAACCTGGGCATGTGCCCTGACCGGTAATCGAACCAACGACCTCTTGGTGCATGGGTCGTTGCTCAACCACTGAGCCACACTGGCCAGGCAGTAGCCAACTTTTTTATCATTCAGTATGCCAAACACCATGTTAAATCTTTTATATGAATTAGCTACATTTAATTAAGAACTTTCTTAAAAAGTGAGACATATAATTCACTTCATAAAATTCACACATCAGTGAGTTTTAGTATATTTACAAAATTGTGCAACCATCACTATGATCTAATTCCAAAATATTTTCATCACTCTAGAAAAACCCAGTGCCCATTTTCTCCCCAGCTCCTGGGAATCACTAACCTTTTTGTGTCTCTGGATTTACCTAGTCTTTTTTTTTTTTTTTTTTTCGTGGTACGTGCCCCTAGCGGGAACCAAATCCAGGAGTCTCTGGTCTGCAGGCCGACGCTCAACCGCTGAGCCAAACTGGCCAGGGCTGGATTTACCTATTGACATATCATGAATGGGATCATACAATATGTGGCCTTTTGTGTCTGGCTTCTTTTATTTAGCATAATATTTTTTAAGGTTGATCCTTTTTATTGCCAAAAAATATTCCATTGCATGGATATGCCTATTTTATCTGTTGTACATTTGGGTTGTTTCTACTTTTTGTTTATAATTAATGCTGTTATAAACATTTGTGTGTAGGTTTTTATGTGGATACATGTTTTCAATTCTCTTGGCTGTATATGTAGGAACAGAATTGCTGGGTGATATGGTAACCCTATATTTAACACATTGAAGAACTGCCATAATATTTATATAACATTTTGAAGAGATGTTTTCATTCCCTTTTAGTGTCTTCCATCTGAAATTGAAGTGAAATACAAAATGGCTGAATGTTACACCATGCTAAAACAAGATAAAGATGCAATTGCTATACTTGATGGAATCCCTTCAAGACAAAGAACTCCCAAAGTAAGTTGACTTAACAATTTATTATAACATTTTCAGCTCCCCATCCCTTCCACCACTCTTCCTCCATGTTTTCTCTATACATAGGGAGTCCATCTGAACATTTTACTCTTGCCTCTAATTTTCACTTTGTTCACTTGTTAATGGAGTTAGAGGTTCAGAGAGGTAGAGGAGTGCCTTTCTTAAGAGACCTTGAAAATTCAGCTGATGAAAATGGTAGCTGGAGAATACTGTAAGTGCTTATTCTTTGGTTTTTCTTACTGTAGAAAAGAATGATTTGCAGTACACTTCCAGATGACAACAATACTATTTTAGAACCTCATTTTTTACATTCTGTATGTGTACCCATTTGATATGTGAGTCGTATGATTAATCCCTTCATTTTCAAAATCAACTCTACCAGAGACTTGTGTACTTATTTGTGTGTGAGATATGTATTTATGTTTGATGTGGCAACATATAATGAATAGAACACCATCGAATGAAATAAAAAGATCTGGTGTCTTGTCTGAGTTTTGGGCATACAAGTTGTGTGTAGTGTGTACTTGGGCATGTTGACAATCTGAATTTTTTTTCCTTATTTATAAAAGGAGGATAAAAATACTTTTCTACTTTTGTAAAAACTAAAGTTCATGTATGTGAGAATACTTTTTAAAGTACTGTTCTGTAAGGAGTATTACATTGGTTATAATATTAAGGGGTATTGTATTAGGCATCTTTGATTACAGTTTTTTGTTTGTTTTAAGTCCAGTTTAGAAGAACAATGAAAATCTTTGTTCTTAGGATTGAATTCACATCAGTATTTAATATTCTACCATATACTCATGTCACCTGTCTCCCTCACTTCATTGCAAAACTGTTCTGTGTAACTTGTGCTTAACAGTGAGGAATTTTATCTGTAAGATGTTTGTGTTCATCCTCCTGCTCTTAAAAGAAAAGGAATCTAAGCAGTAAGGACCTAATATATTTAGTTAGTGTTTTTTCACCTAAATGTTGCTGAGTTTTAAAAGTAACCAATCAAATTTGATGAGAATGGGTTTAAGTATCTCCTCATAATGAGACTGTATTTACAATTTCCTGAGTTTTTTACCATTAAGCTATTTCCCCAGTATATTTTATGGTGGTGGCTGCTATTAAAAACATTTGGAAGCACATTATAGACTATCCTGTCTCATAATTAGCTTGAATGCTTATATACTAAATTGTGTTCTGGTACTCTATGAAAGACTTGCCCAAAGAATAATGTTTTGCATATATGAAGAAAATCTTCCTCTTGGAAGATGCTGTTTTGATTATAAACTTTAAATTATACCTATTCATTTTCTTATTGGAAATGCCCCATTATTTCCTCAATGACTTCAAGGAGTTTGGGGACAATGAGTAATGACAAAGAAGTTTAGTTTTGTAGTATCTAGCACTTTGGTGTTTACTGCTGTCATTTTAAAAGGGACTAGAGCAATCTGCAGTTATTAGGAGTACACAGTCTTCATTCTGTAGAGCTGTTATAGCCAGAAGCAAACAACAAAGATGTGTGCCTCAAACATAAACCTATAATATTTACAGTTTTTCTTTCTTGTCCGTTAGGGAGTTAACTGGCTTCTCAGTCTGTGTACAGGACAAGGAAGTGAGTCAAAATACGTCTAAATGAACGTCTGTTAATGTATGGTAAACAGCACCACACATTCCTTCACATGTTAAAGGAAAATTCCAGTGTAAGATTATTATATTTTGGTAAATCTTCAACTTTTAAGATCAAACATACCAACATACAATTTCTCAGTTTTTAGAAAATGATAACTGCTTATGTTTATAACTGATGGAATGTGGCTTTTGTGATGTTCCCAAGGATTTATTTTAAAAAGAATTGACTTTCTCACTAGGTAGTACTCAAAACTCATTCTTTTGAAGTGCCAATTAGTATAAAGGGAATTTTAATATTTGTTGGCCCATCAGTCATGGTTTGTTAATAACAAGCAGTCAAGAAAGGTTCTTAAATTTAAACCTCTTATTTTTTTTTAAGTATTGAGACTAATACTGGAATTTTCCTTTAAGTACCTTCTTTTGCATTTTCAACATAGCCTAAAATGGAAAAATCTGAGGCCAAATAAAAAATAGTTTTATTTCTAATATTTCATTATTTCATTGTTTAAATCAGTATGGATTTGTGCCATACTAGATTGTTTTATAGACTGTAATTGGAACAGATGGTCTTCATCTTCAGAGCCAGTCTTGCAAAATACCTGGTGTACAAAGCTACAGATAATTGAAGAGATTGAGATTGGCTTATTTTCTTTGTGCCCTGATGTTGACTGCTTCCTTAGGTTAATAATCTGGCAAACTCTGTTTTGTGTTATGATCTATTAATTTTAAATTGGAATGTTGTGTTTTTCTCTTTGGACTTTTAAGATCATTTATACCTTCCCTGTAACTTCTACATTCTTTGGAACTTTTAGGTTTTCTCAAATTTTCCCTGTTGCATTTTTTGAAGGGTTATTTTAATAGAGCCTTACGGAGTTAGTTACATATTTGAATTGTGCTATTTAAATAGTGTAACTAATCTTTGGATCATTGTCACCTCCAAAGGTCAGTTAGATTTTGGTTTTTGTAGCATAACTTTGATGAGTCAGATAGTAGCAATTGGTCAAAGCTTTACGTATGAGAAAGGCTAGAGTCTAGCCGCTAGACTAATTGTCAGAGAGAAGCCAAGTATCTGCTTTTGTGTCTGTCGTTTCCTTTTTGGGGAAAATTCATCTGATCTTTCTTAACTAGCTATATTAAGAATTTCTCACTTTCTATGCCTTAATGTTAATTGCATTTAAAATATGTAAACTTGAGCACTTCTAGGGTAGTTCATCCTCTGTCTTAAGATCAAGAAAGAATCAAGGTAATTAGAATTGTGTAACATTTCTCAAATGAATGTTACTTCCATTTCCAGAGGCAGCATCTTTGGTCCAGATATTATTGGACCTTTTGCTTGGGTAAGTGAAAGGAATTTGATTTTCTTTTTAGAAATGGGAATACATAGGAAAAACAAAGGTGGTAATTTTCTGTTTGGTTTGAAAAATGAGGTTGGTCTTTGTTTATTTCCACGGGGCTGTTGGTAGATTTTCCAATAAAAAGTAAAATAGCTAGTAATAAAAATTAAGACTTAAATGGATAGTGAAATATTTTCTTTGCAATATACACTTAATCTAACTGTCTTCTGTCTTTATTTATTACAGATAAACATGATGCTGGCAAACTTGTACAAGAAGGCTGGTCAGGAGCGCCCTTCAGTCACCAGCTATAAGGAAGTGCTGAGGCAGTGCCCATTAGCCCTTGATGCCATTCTAGGTACGGATCATTCTCTGCCTCTATTCATGGAGTGTTTACTCTCTAATGTAGTAGTTCTCAATCTTGGATGTGCATTAGGATAGCTTTATTTTTTTAAAAGTTTCACCTGTAGAGAGTGATTTAATAGATTATCGTTGTCATGTATTTCACTGATCAAGAAATACTAATTCGCCCAACCAGTGTGGTTCAGTGGATTGAGCGTCGGCTTATGGACTGAGAGGTCCCAGTTCAACTCCTAGTCGAGGCACATGCCAGGGTTGTAGGCTTGATCCCCAGCATGGAAGGAGGCAGCCGATCGATGTTTCTCTCTCACATTGATGGTTCTGTCTCTCTCTCCATTCCCCTCTCTCTCTCTCAAAAAAAAAATCAATAAAGACATAGTTTAAAAAAATAATAAAAACATATTAAAAAAAAAAAGGAAAAATACTAAGTTACGTTTGTTCTGTTATATGCATCTTGATTCAAACAGGGAAAAGGTTGCTTTATAGCCTGTGGAAAGGGTGACCTGTTGCTTCTTGCATTGTAGAAGAGAGATACTATCCCTCACCTTCTTTCTCCTGATTTCTGTTGGGTTAGGTTTGCTGTCCCTATCTGTAAAAGGTGCAGAGGTGGCATCAATGACAATGAACGTGATCCAGACCGTGCCTAACTTGGACTGGCTCTCTGTGTGGATCAAGGCATATGCTTTTGTGCATACTGGTGACAACTCGAGAGCAATCAATACCATCTGGTGAGAGCCACAAAATTAATTCAGTATTCTTGAGGCCATTTCCTTGTAAGGAGGTTTGATGTATCTAAATTAGCAGAACAGAAAAATTAGATGCTTATCCCTTGGTGTTGCAGCCAGTTGTCCCTGCACTTTGTTAGTTTCTTAATGTACCTAATGGTCCCAAATGTAATAATCTCTGCTGAGCACCTGTTAAATAACTTGTATCAAGTTTAGCTCTGTACTTGCAAAAGTAGTAAACTTTGCAAAGCACACTGCCTTAGTGTGTCATGTCTGAACCTGAAAGACATCTTTTTGCATACCACAGAAGCATAGTTTATTGCAGCATCTGATCTGGGTTGTGTCCCTAGGATTGGGATTTTCTTTCCAGTCAGGTCAAGTCCAAGGAAAAGAGACTGGGATCTGTGTTGTGTTGGTTGAGTAGTAAGTAGCTGTCACGTGTAAATAACATTACATTTAACACCATATAGTATATTTTGTCCACTGAAAAACTGCAACCAGAAAATTCTTTCTAGGTAATGAGATTTCTGCTTTAGTCTTTATATTTTGCTATCTTATTCAATATAAATTTTATTTTTAATCATAAACTCAGAATAAGAAAATCTAGCGTACAGTTTGTTTGTAAAATTTTTTGTTATGAAGATTTTCATACATACATAAAAGAAAATAGTATGCATGTGCCTGTCACCCAGATTCAACAACTAAGAGGATTTATAACAGATTTTAAGGTTCACTGTTTAATATCTTAAAGTTCTCTAGAGAAAAAGTCGTTACTGCGAGATAATGTGGACCTACTGGGAAGCTTAGCAGATCTATACTTCAGAGCTGGAGACAATAAAAACTCTGTCCTCAAATTTGAACAAGCACAAATGTTGGATCCTTACCTGATAAAAGGTAAGTAATTCTTGGGGCAGGGTGGAAGTGGCGTAGAGGGACAGATCAGAAAAGATAGGGAGAAAACATAGCATGATTTTCTGATACCATTTTCATGGAAATAGTTTGTAAGATTTACTACAGCAGCTTTTTACCTTTTTTTTTTTTTTTTTTTCAGTATGTGCCCTTAGCGGGAACTGAACCCCTTAGGTCCGCAGGCCGACGCTCCAACCGCTGAGCCAAACCGGCCAGGGCCCTTTTACCATTCTTTAGGTCCTGACATGTCTCTAACACTTGGGTAATTCCGTTTGAGCAGTTGTTTTTGCTTCATTCAAGTGTCGTCTCACCACAGGTCATTATTTAGCTTTTTTTTCGGTACAGAGTCATAGCCTCTCCTTATGATTTATAGATTATGATGTGCCTGACTGAGAGTTTGGATGGCATCCCCAGAACCATAATATCCTTTTTAGGGTATTTAGCTTTACTGTGTCCTTTGTATAGTTAAAAGGGAGTAAATGAACAGATATTAAGAAAGGGATAAGGCCCTGGCTGGTTTGGCTCAGCAGTTAGAACGTCAATTCGAGGACCAAAGAGTTGAGGGTTCAATTCCAGTAAATGGCATGAACCTTGGTTGCGGTTAGCCCCTGGCCTTGGTCGGGGTCGTGCAGGAAGCAACCAGTCGATGTGTCCCTCTCATGTCAATGTTTCTCTCTTTCTCCCTCCCTCCCACTCTATCTGAGATAAAGGGGAAAATATCCTTGGGTGAGGATATTAAAAAGGGGGGGGATAAGGCAATTGAAGGATGTAATTAGGAGTAAATAACAACAATTTTTTTTTTATTTGAAAGAAGATAGCAGTTGAAGGGGTAAGCCACGGGGACTTCTAAATGATGACTGTTGGGTGACTTGCAGTAAGTGAAGGGTGTGTGCTCAGGAATAGCAGTGGGAAATAAGGTCAAGTAGAAAGGCTGAAGTCTGCTGGCAAAGGCCCAAAAAAGGCTATCAGAATGACCTTATTACAATAAACAGTCTTGTAGACACTTAAGCTACAAGAAGGACAGAGTGGGAATAAGAGGAAACAGATTCAGAAAGATTAATTTATTTGCTTAAGCCAGGTCTCCCTCTTCTTATTTCTCTTCTCCAAGCTACCTCTGTCCATGATGAAAATGGTGTTTTAGAAATACTAGTCTGGCAGGAGTCAGTATCTTGGAGTTAGAAGCTCAGACCAGAGTCAGGGAGTGTGGCAGTGATCTTGGCTTGAGACGCATTTTCCTGGGAATCTGAAGGGATTACAAAGAATGGAGAGGAATGGTGGTAAGAGATGAGTGACAGCAAGCGTGATGCTCTTTTTATAGAACACGAGAGGATAAAGTATGTGTGGGGGAGCTGATTCTGCATGAACTAGACTCCAGAAAGAACTAGATGCTTTTTCTGGAATAGGGTAACATTTTCCCAAGACTAACTGGCATATTAAGTGTATATTCCTGACTGCCTAGACTTCTTGGAAGAGAGAACTTACTTGATACCTTTTTTGGGTCTTTCTAGTCATGAGTTAGGATAGCTGTAAATCACACCATAGGATATAGGGACAAACAATTACTGAAAAATAACAGGCTTTGAAATTGTGAGGTAGTTTTTGATGTGTGTGTGTGTTGTTTTTTTTCTTTTAATAAGTCATTTTTTTGGGAACTGGGAATGCTGATGGAAGGAGCTAATGATGGTGAAAAGGACTCAGACCCTGAAGGAGCTGGGGCCTCATTGTGAGCTGTGAGGATGGTGCTGCTCCTTTGTAAAGGACCCCTGCTGCTTTGTTTAAAGAGCCTCTTCCTTTCTAGGAATGGATGTATATGGCTACCTCCTGGCACGAGAAGGGCGCCTGGAGGATGTGGAGAATCTTGGCTGCCGTCTTTTCAATATTTCTGATCAGCATGCAGAACCCTGGGTGGTCTCTGGGTATGTTTATGCACTCCCTTTTCTCTCCATTTTCCAGCAGATTCTTTAGGAAATTGTGGTTCTTCTTGAATAGAATATAGCTTGAAAATGCAGGTTTAAGAGATAATCAGACTTGGATGCAAATCATGGTCTTTGACTTTGGACCTGTGATTTACCTGAGTCTCTTTTCTCCTTTGGAGATGAAGATAATACCCCTGCTTCATGGGGTAAGTCTTAACTGAGATAGTGTAAGCATGGTGGTCAGCACAAGAGCTGCTACTTTGTTATTGACCTGGCTTTATAAATTTTCTGAACATTTTTAATCTGATAGCATATCCAGATCATCAGGTCTTTCCCATAAGTTTCTCCTTCCAATCAAGATTTCCCCCTTAAAAATAAACATTTAGGTTTTTTTGTTCTGTTCTTTTCACAAATATCTTAGGTTAAGTGTCGTTTGTAATAAGGATCATGTAGGTGGTCTTCTCTTTGACTTTTGGATAAAATTTCTTTATTTTTTATTTTATTTATTGATTTGAGGAAGGGAGAGGGAAAGAGAGATGGAAACATCAATGAGAGAGAACATCGATTGGCCGCCTCCTGCATGCCCCCACTGGGGATCGGGCTTACAACCTGGGCTTGTACCCTGACTGGGAATCAAACCGGCAACATCTTGGTGCATGGGTGTACGCTCAGCCACTGAGCCACACCAGCCAGGCTGGATAAAATTTCTTTATATAGGCATACCTCAGAGATACTGTGGGTTTGGTTCCAACTGCTGCAATAAAACGAGTCATGATATTTTTGTTGGTGGAGGATCTTGCCTTCAATTTGCAAAAAATGCAACATCTGTGAAGAACAACAAAGCACAATAAAATGTGATATGTCTGTAGTCTTCTTTCAGATAACTTTTGATGGTTCTTTTCTTCAGGTGTCATAGCTTCTATAGCAAACGCTACTCTCGGGCCCTCTATTTAGGAGCCAAGGCCATTCAGCTAAACAGTAATAGTGTTCAAGCTTTGCTACTTAAGGGAGCAGCACTCAGGAACATGGGCAGAGTCCAAGAAGCAATAATCCACTTTCGGGAGGCCATACGACTTGCACCTTGTCGCTTAGACTGTTATGAAGGTAAGATAAAAATTATAGATGGCAATGTGAATCTGTAGGTGTGGCAATAGCACTCAGATGGAAGGTTTTGTTAGGCTAGCAATTCCCAAACTTTATTGTACATTAGAGTCTGCTGGAGGAACTTTTAAAAGTCCTGATGCCAGGTCACTCCAATACCATTTGAATCAATATTTGGGGGTGGGAGATAAGCATCAGTATTTTTTGAGGATCCCAGGTAATGTTAATGTGCAGACAAATTTGACATTTTAAATTACTTTAGGACTTTCATTAGACTTTTCACTTCATACTTTTAGAATCCATTTTCTCCTTTTTTTGTTTTTGGTGAAGGAGTAAGTAGTTGAGGTAGTTTTTTTGGTCCTTTTCTTTTTTTGTTTCTCAAACATGGTCCACCCAGTAACATGAATCTCTGTGCCGGCACTGTGATGAATCACTTGGTTATTATATATGTCTTTATTCTTTTTCACAGTTGTCTTACCTTGAGCCAGAAATATTACTCATAGGGTAACTCCATATTCATATGATGGTGTTGGTTGTGGGAATTGGTTGGTTCATTGTGACCTCCAGAGTGGGCATGATCAGGGTCAAATTTTGTTTTGTTATGTACTATTTTAAGTTCATGTGAACTGACCCTAGGAGTTCAAAGGAGCTGGGCCAGCTTCAGCAATATTTGGTGACTCAGTCACAGACTTTAAAATAGATCTTACAAGATGCAGTTCCTCCAAAGCATATTTTTATAAGAATTTAAAAATAAACCCAGGAGTCTAAGAGTGATTTGCTGTTAACAGGAAGATGAGTTCAAATTTGAAAAATAAAATGTGAAAGTTGGGATAAAGAACAAATCTGCTTAGATAGTCAGAGAGCTATGCCTATTTTGGATTTGTTCTTAAACCCCAGCAAACCAAGCTTTTGGTTTCAAATTAAATTTTTAATCCTGAAACTATAACTTCCCTACCTCCCAGCTGCTTTTTCCCCTCAATTGCTTTTATTATGCAGATTCCTTTGTGCTGTTAGCCTGGTTCACCAGAGCTCAGGAATGCAGTTGAATGGCTCCACTACCACAGTGTTTGGGCACAGGCTGGTTAGAGTGGTTGGGGGCAGAGGTGGTTCTCTAGCTGGCTGGCCAGTGAGGCTTCGTGGGCTGCCTTCACTCAAGCTACCATTTGGAGACTGGATCAGGGTGACTCTGGGTTGCTTCTTGCAACCTCCAGCCCAGCTTCTTTTACTGGTGGCAGTCCTGGAGTACTGACATGCATTCTTTCCATTTCCTTCTGGCATTTCAGTGGGGCTTTAGCAGGGAAGTATAGCTTCTCAGTAAATTGTTGCAAACAACCAGATTCTGACTCCAGCACGTTGCCTTTAAGAGTTAGGTAATTTCTGGTTAAGTAACCATAGTGTGTGGTGGAATGTGCACAAATGTTATAAATGCTTCTAGGTTGGAGGAGTATGCAGAGAAAATCTGCCAGGGATTGTGTGGGTTTGGGGTTTAAGCAGTTTTTCTGTTTTGATGAGTTCTTTGTGCCAACTTCCTCTGTTCTCCTTGGCACGAGAAGTTAAGAGTTGACTCTACTTGAAGTGTCCCCATAGGGCATCTGTCTTGCTGTGGGTATGAAAAGAGGCAGGAGCTGCCAATCTCGATATATTCCATCCATCTGATGAAGTGCTTTCCATCTAGTTTAGGGAAGTCCACAGCAAATGGTTTTGGAGATAACTTTATGTTTCAAGTGAAAAAGTCCTCCTTTCTCCTTGGGTTGCTCCCGAGGGCCTTTAGTTTGTAGAACTGGACATTTGATTTGGACTATAGGAGTCTAAAACTAGGACTAAAGGTGATGGAACACAGCTGGGAATTAACAGTTTGTTAAGAGGCAGTGAAACCTCGGGTTTTGTTAGAAACATCTGTCACTATTTCAACTAATGATTCGTGTCACATTTGTTCCTCTAACATTTAGCTGGGCTGCATGCATGCTTTGGTTTACTTAGGCATGTTCATTTCCTTCACTAACTGAAGGTGCCTTTGCAGTGCAGGCTTTTTCCATATCTGTCAAGTGCTCTGGGGAAGAGCACTTTTTAGTTATTTCATCAACACATTCTCTTGTCTAATCTCATCATCAAAGTTTCCCCCTGGCTGTCCCTTGTCTGCAACTTTGAAGGTTTGTAATTTGGAAGACTGTCAGAGTGGAACCATGACTTGGAATGGTAATATGGCTGGTCTTTCTGCGTTTTATTTTTTCAGGTCTCATCGAATGTTACTTAGCCTCCAACAGTATTCGTGAAGCAATGGTAATGGCTAACAACGTTTACAAAACTCTAGGAGCAAATGCACAGACCCTTACCCTTTTAGCTACTGTTTGTCTCGAAGACCCAGTGACACAGGAAAAAGCCAAAACATTATTAGATAAAGCCCTGAACCAAAGGCCAGATTACATTAAGGCTGTGGTGAAAAAAGCAGAACTACTTAGTAAGTATTTTATTTACTTTCCTGTTCATCTTCATTGTGTGAAACCTTATCTCAATTGGTTTCCCCAGACCCGCTGGTTACAGGTGTGTTCCTTTGGCTGTAGGTCTGAGCCCAGGTGAATTAGTTGAACATAGCCAAGTATAGCCGGCTTAGACCTGCTTGCATTGGTGGTGACCAGCTGTTATGGAGCTATATTTGGTTACTTGTTCAGCTCACTTTAATCCAGTTTTAGTTGTCCTTAACCAGTTTGGGCTGAATATAACTGGTTTGAGCCAACTGAAGCTGTTTTGACCCATCTGGATTGTCTTATGATTTCCCTTTTAGCCTTGTTTAATTTTTTTGTTTTACTTTTTTTTAATCCTTACCCAAGGACATGTTTTTATTGATTTGGAAGGGAGAGAAACATTGATCTGTTGCCTCCCACACATGCCTCGACCAGGATCAAACCTGAAACCTGGGTATGTGCCCTGACCAGGAATCAAACCCAATCAAACCAGTGTATTGGACAACCAGCACTCCAACCAACTGAACCACACCGGCCAGGGCTAGCTTTGGTTTTGTTTGTTTAATAGTATCTTTATACACATAACCAATGGACATGGTTACAAAGCTGGAGACAGGGCGGGGGGGATAGGGAGGAGGGTGTCAATGGGATAAAAAAGGAGAAACATCTGTAACAAAAATAAAATTAAAAAAATAAAAATAAAGAAAAAAGAATTGAAAAACAAAATAATAATAATAAAAAATAGTACCTTTAAAAGAAAACAGAACCCACCCGGCTGGTGTGGCTCAGTGGCTGAGCATCCACCCATGCACCAAGAGGTCGCCAGTTTGATTCCTGGTCAGGGCACATGCCCAGGTTGTGACCAAATCCCCAGTGTGAGGGCATGCAGGAGGCAGCCAATCGATGTTCTCTCTCATCAATGTTTCTCTCTCTCTCTCCCTCTCCCTTCCTCTCTCAAATCAATAAGGGGCGGGGAGGGGGGGGGGCAGAACCCAAACTGCAGATTTCTTAATGGAATAGGAATTCAGATGAGCTTGTTCTCACTTCCTGACACACCACTGTTTTCTTGAAGTCATCTGCAAATAGATGGTCAGATTGTGATCAGTGTTATGATTTTGTGTATAAGACTTGAGATGAAAATATATTTTCAAAATGTTGTGTAAGTAGGCAAATGAGGGTCCTTTTTTTTTTTCTTTTCAGGCAGAGAGCAGAAATACGAAGATGGAATTGCTTTGCTGAGGAACGCACTAGCTAATCAGAGTGACTGTGTTCTGCATCGGATCCTAGGAGATTTCCTTGTAGCTGTCAATGAGTATCAGGAAGCAATGGACCAGTATAGTATAGCACTAAGGTAGGCACTTAGCCTCCCGTGGGGGGAAGGTTGGTGAGGGGTAGAGAAGGCAGGGAACTGTGTCACAGGAATTCTGGAAACACACACATTGTGCTCACAACTGAAAACAGTAATACGAAGAGGAATTTGTGAATTCATGACTTCTAAAAATTTTTTCTAAAGTATATTAACAACATTAAAGAATCGTTTCACTCATAACCAGCTTACACCACTATAACATCTATTTTCATTTCTGTGAATCATATTCCTGGCCTTGACCACACATATACATATTTTTATAGGGTTATATGTAGTATATATTTTATATTCTGCTTTTTCAAATCAAAGTATTGTAAGTACTTTCCCATGTTTCTACCTACTGTAGTAGTTAAGAACTACACTCTGAAGTTTGGATACTACCTTCACCACCTGTTAATCTTGGGCGAGTTACTAACATTTCCTTGTCTATATCTACCTACTTTATTAGGTCTTAAATGATTAAATGAGGATTAAATGATTATTCCATGTAAAGCTCTTAGCACTGTGCCTGGTACATAGTAAATACTAAATAAATAGTGGTATTCTTACTGCTTAATACAGAAGTGATTTTTTTGAGGGTTGTCTGTGTGTCTGTAAGGTCATGGTGAAGGCCTGTCTTTAATTGAGTCTGATCACATTCATTTACTTGTTCAGCAGTTGAGCACCACTCCTGTGCCTGGCATCTCAGTAGCCACTGGGGATGCTGCAGTTCCAGTTGCTCAGTCTCAGACGTGCAGACTGATGGATGCCACGTGCTAAGTGCTTTCATAGCAGTCTCTAGAAGACAAGGTGGGAGTGCAGAGGATGGGGAGCCCTGGGTGTGGGTGAGAGCTGTATGGAAGGTTTTAGAGAAGAGATACAAATCAATCCACAGTTATATAAATAGGAACAGGATTTCCACATGGGTTTTGTCTGCTTTTTGGAAGCCCAGAAGCAAGTGAGAAAATAAAATGCCAGACTTTAATTAGAGGTGGGATTTGTTAGAGATTGGACACCTGCTGGCCTGGGTGATGGTCACAGAGAAAAGATGAAAGATTTGCTTAGGAGCCAAGTAAATAAATGTTCTTGAGTTTCTGAACTTTGGGGGCTTTTGCACGTGTAATTAATTGGCTCTTAGCTGCTAAACTTGAATGTTCAGGTAGGGGTTGCTTTGGGTCCTGGGGTCTAACCTAGGAGTTGACAGATCTGTTCCATAGTAAGCATGATTTTGGTTAATAAACTAAAGTGCTGACATGTTTAATTAAATCATAAGAACATGGAACAATTTTACTCTCAGAAGAAATTTTGTAACCCTGTAGCTTAAAAACCCAATATTGTTAAGAAATTACATTTGAATTTTTCTGTTAATGATTGTTTACTACTTTTTCATTTGTGTTATCTGATAGCTTCCTCTAGCATAATGCTAGGGGTAATGTGTGAAAAGGTTTAAGAAATAAGTGGAGAAAAACGCAAATTGAGGATTCTAAAAATTAGGACAAGATGCCTTTTTTCACTTCTAGTGGTGGACTCCCTTGATCCTGCCTGTGGAACTGGAATTATTCGGAGAGGCCAGGCGTTAGCAGTTTCTCTGTGACTGGGTGGTCATTTCACTGCTGTGCCAGGGAGATGACACATCAGCCAGCAAGAAGCAAGGCAGAGATTCAGGCCTCTCCTTTGTTTTGTTGTCCCCTAGTTTGGACCCCAATGACCAGAAGTCTCTAGAGGGGATGCAGAAGATGGAGAAGGAGGAGAGTCCCACGGATGCCACTCAGGAGGAGGATGTGGACGACATGGAAGGGAGTGGGGAAGAAGGGGACCTGGAGGGCAGCGACAGTGAGGCGGCCCAGTGGGCTGACCAGGAGCAGTGGTTCGGCATGCAGTGAGGCAGGCGGCAGCTCCATGGCCACACTGGCCTGCCCTGCTCTGAGCACTTCCGTGGACTGAAAGAACCCATAGGAGCCCGCTCTGGGAGGACAATGATTCAGCATGTGATTGCAGCAGGGGTTTCTGCCCCTGGCTCCATATTTCTAGTAGTGACTTTATTTTATAAAACTGAGCCTGACCAACCTTCCATATATCTCCATCCTCCCCTGCTCCAGCCAGGGAGGACCGAGTGAGCCCTCTGGGAGGCCCACAGATGTGCTGGGACTTCTGGGACAGAGTACTTTTTATATAACTAATTTCTAAATCTGAAAGCTCAAGGAATAGACAGTGTTTGTCTGTGATGTTGTGGATGGGTTTAAAAGGAGGGACCTGTCACCCAGAGCAAGTGTCAACTCCCGAGGTGGACAGCAGCACAGATTGGCCCTTTCAGAGAGGGTTTGTTGTCCCAGAAATCATCGTCCTGGGCTGTCTAAACTTCCCTAGTAACCTTGCTTCCTTCTGCAATGTTAGTAATGCCTTAAGCTGACAGTTGCTAATTTGCAGAACAATTTTCCTATTTGCTAAATCTGGTTACTTGCTGTGAGCCTGGGCTGGATCTGAGAAACAGGTGTGACCTAGAGCATGAACAGAGGTACATCTGGGGTAATTAACTAATAAAACTGTTTTTTGTACAGTAATGGTGTTGGGTTGATCAGAATGGAAGCCCTTTATAGATCTGTGTGTGTGTGTGTGTGTGTGCCATAAATAGACTCCCTTTCTTCCCAGAGTGTTGGGAACCAATAGGGTTGGGAACCTCAGGTAACACTGAGCTGGTTCATCCATTTGCATTTTTTGATTGGTAAATTTCCCTGGGGGAGAGTCTTTGGCCAGATTTTAGACTATTTCTGTCTGGCTGTCAGGAGCTCTGAGGTTGGTGTTTGGTTTATGGCATCTGCTGTGGAGCCATCAGGGGGTTCATTCCCTGGGCTTGGATGCTATCGAACTCTCCCTTGTTTAAGAGGTGATGCTTTTAATAATATAGTTAACCAGGAAGTCAACTGGGTGTGGGGGGAGTGGCACAGCCAACCCCAAATTCTCATTAAAACAAAATTAGTCAAAGTGTACAAAATGTGATTTTGATATAAATGGAAGTTCTATAGCATAAAAACAATGGAAGTGTATAATAGTTTGGGAGCTCAGAACATCTGATAACTGCAATTTTAAATGGACAAAAAGTTACTGTTAAAGTATCTTTCAGTATGAGAACCAACACCTGGGCAGCATCATTTGATGGAGCAGTTTCTAAAGAGCACAGCAAGCAGTTGGGGTCATGGCGGATGACCATGTGGCCTGGAGAAGACGCTGCTCATTGACCTTAGTGTGCACTCCAGGATGCAGCCTCATGTCTTTCCTCAGCTCGCTTCTGAGCAGCCATTACCAGTCAGTGCATTGGGAGAAAAGGTGAAACCTCTTTGCCATTCACCTGACGCTGGGAGGGAGCCAACCCCACCCTCTCTATCTTAATTTCTGCTTGTCAGGCTCATCACCTTGACCCCTGAGATTCCCTTGGGGTCAGGATGTGCCTCAGAGCCCAGGCCCTGTGCACACTTTCCATCAGCACCCATGTGTTCTCCCCTTTCCTGGGCTGGCCCTCTGCTCTGCTGGGAGCCCTTGGATCAGTCTGTCCATTCCAGGCCCCTCCATCCCAGCATCACCCCAGGTTAGATCCCTTAGGCCCCTCCCACCTACAGCTTTAGCTTTCCACCCTGACAGGTTCTGGGTGGGAGAGACAAATGAAGCTCCATTTTTTAAAAGTTTATTTTTTATATGTTTTTATTTTTTGGAGGGAGGGAGGGAGAGAGAGAAACGATCTCTGCCTCCCACAAGCCCCCTACTGGGGATCGAGCCTGCAACCCCCACAAGCCCCCTACTGGGGATCGAGCCTGCAACCCCGGCATGTGCCCTGACCAGGAATCGAACCAGGACCTCTTAGTCCATGGAACGACACTCAATCCACTGAGCCACACTGGCTAGGCTGACGGCTACGTTTTTAGAGCACTTAACAGAGAATTGTAAAACACTCTTGGTCCACATCAAAGAATGGGAAGAGCTTGACTTGGAAGGTGCTGAAAATCTCAACTGGTACTACCACTACCACTTGTTCTCACAAACAGAAAAAGGTCCTGAGGGCAGGGAGCCCCAGGAGGCAGGGACAGAATCAGGCTGCCTACTCTATGGCTGTCCCACTGAACCACCTGATAGGAGACCAAGCAGTCTGACAAGGAGTGGCCTCCCAGGTACCCACAGTCACCACAGGTCCTTGCCTGGAGTTTCACACAGCCAATATGGGGATATTTTAACTGATTCCTATCATTTTTCCCCTCACCCCATTGTTTGTAGTACAGGTTTGGAATCAGACTGACTGGGTTCTAAAAGTCCCAGCTCGCCCACTGTCAGCGCTGAGGGTCAGTCAGGCTGAGTAGTTAGCCTCTGTGGCCTGGGCCACCACATCTGTCTGGTCTGAGGACTGAATAAAGCCAGTATGGAGTTCAGCATGACGCCCGTTGTGAATGCCATCACTATTCGGTAAATGCCAGACCGCTGACCCTTCCCTGGGGTATTGGAGACTGGTGGTATCACTGAAACCTTGGCCTTTTCTCCGTGAGGTCCCTCGGCTGAGCAGGGAAGCAGGGTCCTAGAGGTGCTCCCTGCCCTCCGGCCTGGTCCTTCATACCCCAGCTCAGAACCCCTTCTGTGTGGCAGGCGTGACCTCTACAGGGCTAATGTCAGGAGCTTTCCTCGCCCGCCTTAGGTCGCAGGCCACACCCCTGCCTCCCTTCCTGAGGGTAAGACCAGGTCTTTCCCTGATCCACTTCTCAAGCGAGCATGCTTTTCAGTGATGCGGATTTCCAGAACCAGTGCCAAAACTTAACCCGAATCCAGGACCTGGGCCCAGGAACCGTATCTTCTATCACTCCCACACCGACCTTTCCAATACAGGTATTCCCTGGCACAAATATTGAGAAACTAGGGGAGAGGGTTTGAGGGTCCCGGAAGCTGCAGGCCTGACCTCCAAGGGTCCTTGGGGGCCCCACTCTAGCTGCATATGGGTGGGACCAACTTCCATGACCAGATCTCGAGCCCATGCCCAGGTCTGCTTGGCCAGCTCCCAAGCTGCAGGCACTGTGTGCTCCCTGTAACAGGCAGGGAGGCCTGAGTGGACAAGCACCTCACCTTGGCCTCCAGGAACTCCTGACACTGAGGGCCTGTAAAGATGAGCGCCCTGGAAGGTGTTCCGCTTTCCTCGGGAGCCTCCACCCAGGGGCAGCAGCAAGGACGACAGGGTGGGCTTCTGTCTTCTAACTTGGCCCTGCTTGCACCTAGGCCACCACCAGGTGGGGCCTCGGTGTGTGGGGCTTCCCCAGATTGCTCTCAGTTGTTGCCAGCACAGAACATGCCATGTGTTTTAGAGAGCACGGAGTAGCAACACCAGGAATAAGCCCAAAGCCTCACATCAGTCTCCTTAACAGCTGTTAAAATAAAACTTTAAAATAGAGTACTCGTGCATTGCTGGTGGGGATGTAAAATGATACAGCCACTGTGGAAAATAGTCTGGCAGTTCTTCAAAAATATAAACAATTACCATATGATCTAGCAATTCCACTTCTGGGTATATGTCCAAAGGCATTGAGGTGGGGTCATGAACAGATCTGCACACCCATGTTCACAGCATCATTCATAATAGCCCAGTGGTAAAAACAACCCAAGGGCCCACTGCTGGACGAATGAATGGATAAGCAAGATGCAACATATCCATACAATGAAATGTGATTCAGTCTTAAAGATGGAAATCCTGTCACATGCTACAACATGGATGAACCTTAAGGACATTATGCTAAGTGAAATAAGCCAGTTATAGAAGGACAAATACTATATGATTCCACTTATATGAGATCCCTAGAGGAGTCAAATTCATAGACATGAAGTAGGGGCTGGAAGGGGAGGGATAAATGGGGAGTTAGTGTTTAATGGGACAGTTTCCATTTGGAATATTGAAAAAGTTCTCGAGATGAGTGGTGATGATGACAACAATGAATGTACTTAATGCCACTGAGCTACACTTAAAAATGGTTAAGATGGTGGCCTAAGGCGGAGGGTGGGGCTTGGGCCGGGGCTTGGGGCTAAAAAAATAAAAATAAAAATAAATAAATAAATGGTTAAGATGGTAAATTTTGTCATGTATACTTTAAAAACCTTTTAAAAAAAAACCCACAGTAAATAAATGGCTTGTAATTCTGCCACTCAACCCTATTAACACAAGTATTTGTAATATATATATTATATAAACTGTTAAAATTCAACTGAGTAAATTTGAAGATCTAATTGGCTTTATTAAGCAATTCAGGAACTGGGCAGCATCTCAGTTTTTTCCATTTTTTGTTCAGATAGAGTGGGAGGGAAAGAGACAGAAAGAAACATCGACTTGAAAGGGACACATCGAGTGGTTGCCACCCGCACGACCCAACCAGGGCCGGGGACAAACTGCAACCGAGGTACGTGCCCTTAGCGGGAACCGAACCCGGGTCTCTCTGGACCGCAGGCCAACGCTCCAACCGCTGAGCCAAACCGGCCAGGGCTCTGCTACTATCTTTAGAAAAATGGTATTGCACTTTGAACTAAGGATATGTATATGTAAAGTATATTAAAGTGGTCACGCTGTACACAGAAATTTCCTGCCCGAGGTATCAACGTGTTCTTCCTTGTTTGTTTTGACAGTTTCACAGAATCTCATGCCGTGGATGGCACAGTTCCTATAACCCGTCCGCTTTGGTGGGCATTTGTTTCCAGTTTTGTTGGTACACGATCATTAGTTTGCACTATCACAAACATATGTTGGCATAATATTCCCAAAGACACGCAGAGGTCAAATTCCTTGTAGTGAAATTTCTGGGTCTCAGATTGCTCCCCAACAAGACATGGGAGTGCTTGTCCCCTACAGCCTCTCCAACGTCGATGTCCTCAGCATCCGTGTTTCTCCCAGTCTTAGATGTGATAAATGGGCCGTCACTTTGATTTGCTTGAGCTGCTATTTCTTGAACACTCATCAGGGTCAAGCCATGAGGCCAGCCCTTTGCCTGTGTGGTCACATCCGTAGTCTCACGCCCCTGAAGCATGGGTAGAATTAGCCCCATTTTATAGATGAGCAAATAGTCTCGGACGTGTTGGCTGTTTTCATCTGTCCAGAGTTTCTTCCCCTGGAGTTTCAGTATGCTCTTAACTGATCTCGACACAATTTTATAGTCTGTTCAAGGGAAAACAGCCGCTCTGAGCCCAGGTCTGTGTCCTCAGGCTTGCTGGTTTAGAGGCTGCCAATCCGCCTGGCAAGGGCAGCACCATCAGGACACGGCTCTCACTGGCCATTTAAGTCCCCCAGTTGTCTCTTTATAAACAACGCTCTGGTTACCTTTGTGCGCACAGCTTTTTCCTTCTTTGGGTAAATTCCCAGGAGGGGGATTTCAGAATGAAAGGGTATAATGGTCTTTTTTTGGAACTTTCAAGGGAGCTGGCTGGTCCTCTCTCTGCAGTGGATGGGTGAGCCCAGGCTGCCTGTTGCCTCCCCCAGCTGCCCAAGTCTACCCAAGGAGTCCTTTGGTTTTAGGTTAGGGGAAGCCAGGAGCCCCCAGACCTGGAACTTCCC